GGGCTGAATGCAGGAAGGCAGCAGCCGTTCCCCACCAGGAGCTCCAGCCAAAGCTGTGTTTGCCGGAGTCCATCTCCATGGGTGGAGCACGGGGACAGGGCAGGGGAAGGAAGCTCCCCCCAGCCCCCATCCCTTGTGTTTTCCTGTGGGGATGAAAGAGGTGAAACCTGATCTCACGTCTGCTCTGCCTTCCCAAAATACTACAGTGTTACAGCTTCCCTCCTCAAAAGCAATAAAGTCGATGGGGCCAAAAGACCAGAAGTGACACAGGTGCCAGGCAAGAGCACCTCCTGCGAGAGAGATAGAAGGGATAAAACCACTGCAAAGCACAGCCCTAGGGCTCCCGATGGGGAGGACAAACTCGGATGGTAGAGCCCAGATCAAAAGTCCACGTCTAGGATGGATTTTCCTCCATTCAAACACACCAAAATTGCAATGGAAAGGGTTTCCGGGATGTCCCCCCGCGTCCCCTCCCTGAATTGGGATGTTTTGACCCCAGAGAGACGCAGGAGCCTGGAAGGGCGACGGGAACCGAAGGAAGCCAAATCCTGAGCGCTATTTTCAGCTCTCGGACAGGAAAAGCACCTGCTGGGGTCATTACGCCGCGGGAAAAAACAAACGTCGGGATGTTGTCCCCGGGGGGTGGGATGGAAATAGCTGAGCTCATCATCACCGGAGGGGCTCGGGTCCCCATCCCAGGCACAGCGCGGGGTCCGGGCCCGGGGCTGCGCAGGCGGAGGGGTTCCGACGTCGGGTTTCGGCGCTGTGCGGATAACGCGGGGTCTGCTGCCCTCTCCCGACAGCCGCACCGAACGCACCGCGAGTTCCGCACTCGCACAGCGCGGAGTTCGCTCTGCTCCGCGTTCGGGACGCGCTGGGAGGAGCTCAGCCCTCTGCCGAGGGGCAAAACCTACAGCCGCCCCGTTACCATGAACACGGAGCAGGGCTGGAGGCATCCACCGGGAGACGCGGGGGTGGGAACGGGATTTCCCTGGGGGGGACCTTTGGAGAAGCCCCTCGGGTCTCAGTGCTGTCTGCCCGTCCACGGGGTTGGAAAGATCCGGGAACCCCTTAGCCGGAGCTGACACTGACAGCTGGGCATGCGAAGCCCACCCTGGGGAGGGGAAAACCAGCCTTGGGTGGGGGTGCCCAGCCGGGGGGCACGTGGGAGAGCTGCGTCCTCACGATGGGAATGCGTTGGGTGAGGGCACTCCGGAAGGGCTGGGTGTCACCACTGGCATGGCATTGGGTGAGGGAGGAGGGAGCTGTCGGTCCTTCTCCTGTTCCATTGCATCCCAAAGTGAGGAAATCCCCAGCGCCTTCTTCATACTGCTCTCTGAGCTCCCCCTGTGGGGATTTCAGCCGTTTCAGTGCCGATATTCGGTGTCCCACGCAGGTGGGGCAATGCAGCATCTCCTCATTTACCTCCCTCTTTCCCAGACTCCCATCCCACAGGGCCAGGTCTGTCCATTGGGGCCACCTGAACCACACTGGGAATGTGCCCTGGATGGGGACAGTGGGACAACCCAATTGTCTCCTACCCAAGAGACCCCTCCCTGCTGCCCTGCTGCTGTCCCCAGCACTCGTCCTCGGGCCCTGTGCCATCCCCCTGGCCCAGACAGCTGTCCCTCTTGGGGGGGGGGGGGGGTCAAATAGGCACCATATGTCACTGCTGAATCCCTCGCATTCATGGGTTTTCCTCCAAGCACCCACCTGTCCTCCTGCTCACTGAGCCAGACTCTGCCACCCCAGGAGAACAGCCCTTTGTTGACAACACGAGTGCCCCAGTCCCTGTGTGATGGCCAGGACATGGCACAATGCTGGGGATGGAGGAGCTGCCCCCACTCGTGCTGGAGATGCTGGGGTCCGATGGGTGTTGTGGGCATCTTGGGGGTGAGCACCCCTTCATCTGCAGTTTATGGGTGGGGATGGAAAGGGTTCTGTTCAGGCTTCGGGGCCATGAAGCACGGGAATGGGGGGATGGGGAGGTATTGTGTTGGTGGTGGGGCAAGCGTTGTTTGGTGAGTGCAGAGGGTAAGAGCACCCGGTGTGGCCCCTGAAATGGGAACCAGCAAATGAGCACCTGGGTTGGTCCCCAGGTATGATCCAAGGAACTGGGAGTGGGGGTACCTGGTGTGGCTGAGGGCCAACATGCTCCATGATCCCCAGACTGAGGATTCTTGAACCTGGGACCATAACTGATGACCAAAACATGGCCGTTCAGCTGGGCTTTGTACTCCGAGGAGCGTTGTTATCCCTGATTTCCTCATGGAGAGACTGAGGCACAGAACCTGCAACAATGAGAGGGAGCTGAATGTGCTGAGTGTGGCGGCCCCGTCACCTCCCAGCCCATGGGTGAGCCCAAAGTGGGGGAGCTGACACAGAGGGGTGAGGGGATGCTGCCCACCCCCATCTGGGGACAGCCACTAGGACACCATCCCCCATTGCTCCCTATGGACCGGACATGTGAGCAGTCCCAAATCCCCGTCAGGCTGAGACTTGGCCCTGCAAAGCCGCCGGCTCGCAGTGCTGGGGCCGAAGGGGCAGGCAGTGCTGCAGCCCCACCGTGGCCGAGCAGCTGTCACCATCCCAAATCTCTGCCGAGAAGGCACGTCGGAAATCCCGGGTGTCGGAGGAGAGGTCTGCTCTGCATTCCTCATCCAGGAGTGGGGAGCAAGCCAAGCATCTCCCCGCCGCCTGCAGCTGCTCCCAAATATGTTATGACTTGTCACTGCGGCAGGAAGGGATGTCGGCGAGCCTGGAAAGCAAGAGGGGATGTGGGGCAGCGGGGGCCGGGGGTCGGTGCTGTTGGATGTGGCCTTTTGGAGGGAGCGGTGCAGGATGGGCCCTGCTGGATGCATCAGAGCCCATCACTGGGATGGGGCCGAGGTAGGATGTGCCTGCACCACCTGGCTCACTTCATCATCCCATACAACCACCCCATTCTCCAATTCTTCTCAACAGAAAGGACCCCACTGCCAGTGCTCCACGTGGCGAGCTCACAGACCTCACCAAAACCCCAACAGAGCCACCACGGGGAGTCGTGGTGTGAGAGCCACCAACCCTCAGCCACCACCTCTCCCGGGGCCGAACCCGCCGTGATTTTTCTCAATGGAGATCAGTGTTTTCAGCTCGTGGTGCTGACGGGGTGAGCCGTCCCCACGAGGCCGGGGCCCCCTCCTCTGCCCGCGGGGGAAGGTCACCCCGTGACGGATCGCAGCACGTTCTGCCCGGCGCACACAGCCCTGCTTTGTGTGCAGCCCAGCCGCCGCCATCCATCACAGGATAACCTGACAGCCGGCAGCACAGCCCTAAGCCCCTGCTGGCTCTGAGCTACCTGGGGCGCAGCCGGCAGTTGCTGTGGGCACCTATGGCACCCGGGGGAAGGTGCCCTGCTCACCCATCCCGTGGCTTTGTGCTGTGAGAGGGGTGATGGGTACCCTTGGGGATGCTCAGGGTGAGGGGAGCCTCCGAGTGTTTGGGGTGCTGGGGGCCCATGGGAGTGCTGGGAGTGGTGGCGGCCCCTGGGGTGCTCAAGGTGATGGGAGCCTGAGAGTGATGGGGGGGATGGGGGCTCCTGGAGTGCTCAGGATGATGGGGGCCCTCTGGGTGGTGTTTGGGATGCTCAGGGTGCTGGGAGTCCCTGGGGTGTTCGTGGTGCTCGGGGTGATGGGAGCTGCTGGGACCGCTTATGGGGCAGTTGTGGGGCTGATGGCTGCTCACTCAGCTGTGGGGTGTGTGAACCTGCTGGATGCACAAAGCCCACAGGGCCTTGGGGACCAATTCATCCCCTTCTCCCCATGTTCCCTTTCTGATCAGAAAAGCCCCAGCGCTGCTGCAGAACACTGCCTGTGTTTTATGAAGTGCTAAATGCTTGGCCACTCTGCTATATGGCCCTGCCACGTGCCCGAGGAGCTGTTGTTTCACCCTTCACCCTCCAAACACAATCTCAAAATTAAAAAACCCATCCAGAGCTGGAGCAGTGCCACTGGTTTCCCTCACCAGGTCTGTGGACACCAGCAAGTCCCACCAGTGGGACACAGATGGAAACTACTGGCTTGGGTTCTCCCATCCTAACTGCTTTGTGTCACCGTTTTCATGATTTTCCTCGTGGCCCCAAAGAAATCCCTGTCTGTGCTGGCAGAGGGCCGGCCCCCAAGTGGAGATCACCATGATGAGCCTCAGAATGGCTCAAAATGAACCCAAAGTCAGGCAGGGCGCCGGTGGGTGGGTGTTGGGAATGTGCTTCCTCAGAGAGGGTGATTTGGGGAATAAAATCCCAGCAGGGTCAGCTCTGCTCTTGTCTGACATTCTTTCCACTGACCGATCCCTCCACTGGAATCCGGCCCAGAGCAGGAATAGGAGGAGGTGGGAGATGGTTTCTGACGTTCCCGGTGGAAAAAAGCCCTCAGGATTAGTTGACAAAGCCAGGGAGATGTGGTTGGAGTCCTGGGGAAGGGTGAAAACCCATCCCATTGTGCTAACCAAAAGCCCATCGCCATGCCTCAGTTTCCCCATTGGGAAGGTGGGAACCGTCCCTCTCAGGGCTGCGTTCCTCTGCTGTCCCACAGCTCTGGGGGGAGCACGGGGGGCACAGCACATATTGAGCAGCACTGGGTTCTGCGCCCCATGGTGCAGCTGCCCCCACCCTGACCACCTCACCCCATAACTGAAGGGACCAGATGACGCAGGAATGCAGGCTGGGGCTGGCAGCCCCTGTGCCACCCGTGGGCTCAAACAAAGCCCCCGTTGGGGCAGCCAGGGCAGCTCCCACCGTGCCAATCCCCCCCCCCGCTCACCCCCCTTTGGGCCATGCAGTCCTCGTGGCCGCAGCCGGACAAGTTTTGATGCGAGGCAGCAGCTTAGGGTGGGCTCAGGTTTCCTTTAGGTTTTCTATATTTATCTCTGTGATTTAATGCCAGCGCCGGGGTTTAAATGGCACCGAGCAGTTGGCGCAGGGAAACGGAGCAGCCGTCCCCGAGCCGTGCACACGTCCTCCCATGGAGCTCTTTGAGACCAACCCTTACTTTTTCCCGGAGCAGAGGTTTTACGATGGGGAAAACTTCCTGGGCTCCCGCTTGCAGAGCTATGAGGCAGCCGCATTTCCCGAGCGGCCCGAAGTGGCTCTGTGCCCCGAAAGCAGAGGGGCTTTGGAGGAGAAGGACTCAATGCTACCCGAGCACTGCCCTGGGCAATGCTTACCGTGGGCTTGCAAAATCTGCAAGCGCAAAACAGTGTCCATCGACCGGCGTCGGGCGGCCACGCTGCGGGAGAAGCGGAGGCTGAAGAAGGTGAACGAAGCCTTCGAGGCGCTGAAGCGCAGCACTCTGCTCAACCCCAACCAGAGGCTGCCCAAGGTGGAGATCCTGCGCAGCGCCATCCAGTACATCGAGCGCCTGCAGAGCCTGCTCAGCAGCCTCAACCAGCAGGAGCGCGAGCAGAGGGAGCTGCGCTACCGCCCTGCTGCACCACAACCTGCTGTGAGTGAGGGGATGGGTGGGGACGGGGGGCTGGAGCGGGGGTGGGTGGTGGTGGAGGAATGGGGTGGTGGCGCTCAGGTTGCTGTCCCTATGGGCGGGTTGCTGGGGGGCAGTGGGCTGATGGCTATTGCGTAGTGGATCGATGGTGATTGGTGGGGAGTGGGAAGGTTTAAGTCACAGAAACCATTGTAGAACCATGGGATCATAGAGTTGTGGAATGGTGGGGCCGCAGAACCGTGGAATCATGGGGTCACAGGACCATGGAAGCATGGAGACATGGAATCATGGGGTCATAGAACCAGGGAATCGTGGAACCATAGAGCCATGGAAACATAGAGCGCTGGAATCATGGGGTCACAGAGTCATGGAATCATAGAGTCACAGAGTCATGGAAACAGAGATGTGGAATCATAGGGTCACAGAGTCATGGAATCATGGGGTCATAGAACCATGGAACCATGGAATCATAGAACCATGGAAACACAGAGTCATGGAATCATGGGGTCACAGAGTCATGAAGTCATGGAGTCAAGGAATCATACAGTCATAAAATCATGGCACCATGGAATGATGGAATGATGGAACCATGGAACCGTGGGGTTCTATATAGCACAATGCAATGCATTACAATACAGTGCAACGCAATATGGTACCGTACAATACAGTGCAATGCAGTAACAAAATGCTGTAACAACAGCTATGTAATGTAACATAAAGTAATGGGAGGTAATACAACGCACCAGGCCTGGCCCCCTGGTGCATGGGGACTTGTCCCAGTGGGGAGCACCACAGGTTTCTCAGTCCAATGGCATCAAACCGGGATCCAGTCAAGAATCCTTGAGGCAGTGGCATCCTGCCCTAAGCACGCAGGGTGTGGCCAGGCTCCATCCTCCCCACCATGAGATTCTGGTGGCTGAAGCACATTTTGGGGGGATATTTTTGTCTGCTGGGGGATGGTGGCATGCGCCTCCTGGCTGCTGAGGCTTTGTATGTGGGAATGTGGAGCTGTGGATAAAGGTATGGGTGATACAGATACAGATGAGAGATGTAAATGATGTATAGCTGCAGGTGATATATAGATTGCAGATGTGTAGGTATGAATAGAGATTATGTAGATGACAGGTATAAATGATACAGATACAGATATGTACGTATAGATAGCATTGAGACAGATGTAAATTATATATAGATACAGATGCCAGATATCTACATACTAATACTGATATCAGTGGGCTTTGTAAGAGGGAGAGACTTTTCAGACCTCTTTTCAGACCTTTGCACTGAAGAACCAATTCTTTGGTACCTCCAGGCTGCTCCTCCAGCACAGCTTCACGTCCTGAGTGCAAAATCAATGATCAGGGGCAAAACCAAACTCCAAAACTCCAATCCATACGCCTTTCCAGTGTCAGTCGGAAACAATTCCAAGCATTTGTGTACTGGGGGCCTGGAGCGAGCAGTGAGCTGAGGTTTAGGGGTTCCCCAGCAGCTCCTTGGTGCCATCTTTTATTTAATGAATCAGTGAAGTGATTTTTAGTCAGTAGCTGTTTTGCCCAAGGATGCTTGTCTGTTTTTTTCCTCATAATTGCTGCCTACAGAAATACTGCATAGCAAGCAGGTGGCCATGCACCCCGAGCCCAAATTGGGTTTTTCCAGCATTCATGGAGATTAATGACGAGCCTGGCGCTGATGGATCCCCAGGACCCCAGATTTCACCATCTGCTCTGTTTCTGTGACCACGCATTGGTGCCATGCTGTGGGGATGGGGGTGTTTGGGGGCAGGCAGTGGGGTTTGGCTGGTGGAGGTGGGGCCATGGGTGGCACGTTGGTCCTTGCAGGCACCCAGTGAGTGTGGCTCCGGCAGCTCGTCCTGCAGCCCCGAGTGGAGCACACAGCTGGAGTTCAGCACCAACCCTGCAGGTAAGGAGCTCCCAACCCTCCATCCCAGGGACGTCACAGCATGGGGCTGAGCATCCCTGAGCCAAAACCCACAGCCAGTGGACAGGAGGAGCCTCGTCCTCCCCCCACCCTCATGTTGGGCGAACCCTCCAGCACTGCCTGAGCACAGCTCAGGTTTCTCCCATTGCCTGATGTGCTGGAAGCAGCCCGCAGCAGCTCCACGTCCCTGTCCCATCAAGGGTTCATATGTGTCTGCTCCATAACCCAGCTCTGCCCATTGCAGCACGGAGCACCCCTGCGGAGCTGCTTCTCCCACCCCCTAAAAGCTTCCCCAAGTTTCGCTGCCCGTTGCCATCTTTGAGGAAAGGTCTCAGCCTTCGGGACGGGTTCTGGGAGCAGATCCCCGTGTCAGTGTGGTCACACAGGGCAGGGTCATGGGGTCACCATCCCATTGCCCTCCCCCTCCTCTCTCAGATCACCTCCTGAGTGACGATGCAGCGGAGGACCGCAACCTCCACTCGCTCTCCTCCATCGTGGAGAGCATCGCCGTGGAGGACGTGGCCGTGACGTTCCCGGAGGAGCGGGTCCAAAACTGAGCTGGCACAAAGCCCCTCAGCTCTCTGAGCTCGAAACGGGGTGGGATTGAGATGCTGGAAGGATCCAGCTGCTGGAAGTCATAATTACCCCTCCAACACTGTGGACAGCAGCGCTGAAACCGCCCGAATCCTTTCCCACTCCTCTCCAAAAGCTCCCACCGGTGGAAAAAAGAAAAGGGGAGAAGTGTGATGGCGGTGGCTGGCGGCGGCCCCGGGTCCCCCAGGCTGGGGGCTTTTCTTCCTTGGGGGCCAACATTTGTGCCACAGCCAATGTGGCTGTTTCCAAGTTGCTCTTCGACCAAGGTCTCTCTCCGGCGGGCTGCCTTCGCCGGCTTTCCTGCTGACCGCTGTGTGCAGTTGCCATTTGTTTGTGTTTTCTTTTTTAATTATTATTTTTGCTAACTTATTTTGATTTTTTTTTTTTTTTTTAAATAAAGGCATTCTTGTTTGAATTGCTCACGTTTTCCTTTACCGCTGTTTCATGTCGTGCTAACCTCCCCCAACTCTTAGGCTGTGGTTTTCTTTTCCTCGTATCAGAATATCCAAGGTCTTCGGATGGACATCAGTGGATGCCTCATGCTTAAATCAGCCCTGCAGAGATCACTGAGCTCACTGGTTTGCTTCTGGGGCTCAGCACTGTGCCCCAAAAGCATTCAGGGCTTCAGGTGATGTTGACTCCGTTTTCCAAAGTTTGATTATATTTCCAATTTGGGCTCTAGAAAGAAGGCTCAAGCCAGCATTGCTTTAAAATCCTGTTTATTGGAACACACATACATCCTTTCCTGACCCGATCCAGGGTTTGGAGTCCATGCAGTACCAATAATATGACGAAAGAAGTAGGGCATTGGTAGAAAGGGTTCACCGACTCTTCAAATTAAAAAAATATTTAATACTGTATTAGGCAAATAATACACCAAAAAGACATTGTGACTGTATAGCCTCTCAGATATTGCACTTCCAGACAGCACATGATAAGTATAGGTCATTCCAGCCATCAATAAATATCACATCAGAAATAGGGGCCACACAAGGCAAACGTGGCATGAGGAGATGAAGAGATCCTACCCTACGGGGGAGAAATGGGAAGGGCTGAGAGCCTCCTGGATCACCCCTGCCTGTAGCCTGGAGGCAGGAGGGGAGAGCATCTCCTCTGCACCTGGAGGGAAGGGACGGGTCGTCCCAGGGTGCTGGGTGCCCCTGCTGTGTTTCCCTGCTCCCCAAGGTCAGGCCTGACAGCATCCAGGCCAGCAGTAAGCCAGACTGAGGCAGTCCAACCCTTCCCCACTTTGGGGCACAGCACAGCCCAAAATGCCCCGACCACCACCCAGAATGCTGCTTGCACCCACAGCAGCCCCTTCCCACTCTGCCCTGTGCAGCGTCCATCCTGGCACTGGCTTCAGCCCCTCTGTCCCACCCAAGGCAGATCCTTGGCCATCTCCCCCAACGTCAGGATTTTCACACAGAGCTGAGCCTGAACCCTCCTCGTGATGCCCGGGGCTCCGGTGAGCTGGTGTGACAGTCTATGGCATATTGGCAACATGAACCAGGCAGGAGAAAGGTTTCCAAATATTGCAGCCCACTTCTGGGGCATCTCCGCTTCTCTGATGGGCTGCACTTCCACCAGGGATGAAACAGGCACCTGGTGAGCACATCCAGAGCCTGGCTGGTGCGAGGTGGGGTGGGCAGAACAGCCACAGGCGGGAGGCACAGGGAGCCAGGGACAGCAGTGGGGCGCACAAGCAGAAGGGAGAGCAGCCTTTTCAGTCCATGGCAGTAGCACTGCGACATCTGTTGGTTCGGGCTGAGAAACAGGCACAGGCTGAGCTCTGGCCTTGTCCTGAAAGGCAGCTGGCACTTGGCCGGATGGATAGTGGGGATGTGCTGAGAAACAAGGTGGGAACGGCTCCGTGAGGACAATGGTTCATCTCCATCTGGGGACCAACGTGCCAACAAACCCACAGCTCCTGGCACTGGAAGGCATGCACTGAGGGACAGCAGCGTCCCAGGAGAACCTGCCACCCTCACTCCAATGGGACCCCTCATTTAGGATGGCATCTTGGGGACACCAGGGACCAGACAACTCATATGTATCACCCAGACCAGTGCTTGGGATGCTGAGCATCATTTCTGCGTCATCCCAGCATCCTGCGAGCTTCAGCAAGCAGCAGGCTGTTCCCCAACTGCACCCCAGTAGTGAGGCAGATCTTGATGACAGCAGGCACCCTGCCTGGGTCACACCAGCAGAGCATGCTGGTCCTCCTGCTCCCCTCTTGGTTCCCACCCAGCTCTGGTCCTCCTCGCACGTACCCAGGGCCGGGCTGGCTCCCATCACACTGATCCTCAGCACGAGTATGTCCGGACCGTGGAGGTCTCCAGCCGTGGTGACCCAGAGGCACCAACTGGAAGAGAAACAAAAAGCAGAGCATGGAATTAGTGGCTGCCCCAATTAGTCCTCAGCTTCCCACCAACGCATTTATTCGGCAGCAGTTGTGTACTAAAGCCACGTGAATCAAAGCGAGAGGCTTTGTACCTTCGGGGATGGGTCAGAAGGTTTAGGACAAGTGACATAGAGCTATCTGGTCCAGCAGGGAGCCTGCTGGGAAGGGGTGGCATACCTTCTGGGGGCATTTTCTTGGCAGGGGCGGAGGGAGGTGGCAGTGGCACCAGGCTGGTGACGCGGAAGCCGGCGGGCAGCGTCTCAGCTGAGCCACTGAGCATGTTGATGCTGTGAACGTCCCGCGGGCGGAAGCGCTTTCTCCAGGACGGGGTCCGACGGAAGGTTTTGTCATCACCCTGGGATGGAAGAGCAGGCTGTGAACCCAGCAGCAAGGACCTCCCACCCTTGTGAGATATCCTCACTGCGTTCATCTAACTGCGTGGGTGCCAGCATGACAAGAGAACACAGGCTGTGCAGAAGTGTGTGATAGGTTGGGCCAAGGATGTAGGAGAGATCTCTGGCATCCCATGAGCTGGGCTTCATTCAGCACGCCCATCTCCTCTCCACCCCGCCTGCAAAGATGTCAACACAAAAGCCCCAGTAAAAACCCAAAGGGAAGCACATAGCTGTGTACTCATCTGGAAGCACCTACTTGTCTTCATGCTCTAAAGAGAGCTCTGACCAGCTCTGCTATCGTATCTCATGCAAGAAAGCTCTATGTAGGACAGATCTAGATAAATTCCCACCTTCAGTGACTCAATGTGAACAGCTTTCTGGCTGCATAACAGGGTATCTCCAACCCACGCTTTACCAGCTGCTATGTGTCATGTCCAGAACATCTGTGCTTCTAAAAGGCTACAAAAAAAAGTAGCTGGCAAGGAAAGCTGGGTGATTCCTCCCCAAATTCAACCCACTAAGCACTAGAAGAGACTCACAAGACCCTACCTCGCTTGCTTCTATAGACAGTTTTGAATTTTAAATGATTTAGTTTTAATTTATTCCATTGTTTATGCAACTGCTAGTTGTCTTCCCAGGATAAGCTGGGAGAGGGAAGCAGTTCCGTTTCTCCTATTTCTTAAACAAGAACAGGAACCCAGCACAATTTGGGCATGGGAGAGGTTTGGTACTCACATCGTCCAGCCTCCGATCTGTGCCCAATGCAAGCAGATTGTTGAACTCCCTTTCCAACACTTGTCGAGCCTGAAAATAACATCAAATGAAACACTCTCCATCTATGGGAGCAGCTCTAAGCACAACTCCCCAACCCAGCCCAGAGAACGATGGAGAAGAAGCCCATGCACCATCAGGGTGCTCTGCTTTGAAAGGCAGAATTGAGTTGGTGGGACTGGTGGAGTCACACTGCAGCTATGTCCCATGCCAGCCATCCTCCTCCAAAATCTCCCACGGAGGCTCTCCTTACCTGTGTGTTCTGCGTGGGGATTTGCAACACGAGAGCCAGACTGTTGTGGTCAAAGTTTTCATCCAGGGCCAGGAGTGCTCCATGCACCCCGCTCTCAACAAGGTTGTTTGCGTACTCGCGGAGCCCGATGGACTGGATCCAGTGAATGACCTGGTCATTGGTCCACACCAACACATCTGCAAAAGAGCAGGAGCACGTTTCAAGGCAGCCCAGACAGTACTCTTGGTTGTGCAGTAGGCTGGGATGTGCTGCAGTCCTGGCACACAGCCCCAGGCTGAGCCTGGCACTCTCCTTCCTGGGCCAGCAGCAGTGCCGTGTAGCTCAGTGCCAGGAAAAGCTCACTTCGAGTTACCAAACTAAATGCAGAAATGACAGGCAGAAAACAACTGTGAAAATTAATGCTAAGAGGCCTGTATTGATGATGTAATTAGGGGCATTGTCAATAATGAGTTGTTAATCTAAGCACAGGAGATCTCAGGATAGCCAACAAGGAAGGGGAGCTTGATAAGCTGGGGGTGTCCTGAGTACCTGAAAGGGGCAGGAGAAGCTCACCTGATGCTGGGACAAAGCCCTTCCTGTCTTGACACCCTACCCCCCTACTCATGCCTGACTGGGGTGAGCTTAAGGGTACTTGGAGCAATCTGCTGGGGAAATACTGCAGGGACAACAGCCCTACAGGAGTGAGTGCTGCTCACAAATACTGGTTTTCATTTAGCAAGTGCTGTGTTAAGAATACGAGACAGGAGAGAGACCATTACTGGGCATCTCTTTGGAGGTTCTTGTCAGCCTTTCCAGAGCAGGATGGTGGATGTGGCTGCTGACCTTTGATTTCGTGCTGAGTCTCTTCTCGCCTCCTCTCAAGCTCTTTGCGGTCGTAGTTGAGCCTCTTCAGGCACATAATGCCATACTGTAGGCTGGTGCTGCAAGGACACGAGACATCACCCAACCTTCAGGAGGGCAGACGCCTTGCAGGGACCCCGCAGAAGGACCCACTTCCCTACTAACTCTTCATGTGCCCAAAGGATGTTTTAGTGTAGGACTGAGTCATCACAGATGAAATTCAAAGGGATGATCTTAGCTGGAAGCTGGGGAACATCCCTCCCTTTTGTGGTAATCCCCCAGTCCTTCAGTTTTATCCCGTTC